ACAATAGCATACCTTCCCTGCTCATTCTAACCCTCTTATCTTGCTTATTGTGGTTTTTTTTCATAACACTTCTCATTGTTAAATGCTTGAGGCCATGTTTACCTTTCTTCGTGGAATAAAATTCTATACATATCCTCCCCATTCTAAGGTAATTTTTTTTTATTTCATATGTGTCTTGTTTTTAGATCCTCAGAGAGTAGAAACCAAGGATGTGTCCTTTTCACATCTATATTCTCGGCAATTGGCTTAGGGCCTCACCTTTAACAGGTGTTCACTAAATGTTTTCAAGTGAATGAATTTAAAGTGTCATCTTTTCCCATCTTCTGACTATTTTGCCCCTCAACAATTCACTACTACAAGTTTATATTTCAAGTATAGTCTAAACCACATTACTAGTACTTATTTCTAAATTATGTTGTCTTTCATTCTTTCAGGTTCTTTTTTTAAAAGATTTTTTGTTGGGGCTCCTGGGTGGCTCAGTGGGTTAAAGCCTCTGCCTTTGGCTCACGTCATGGTCCCGGGGTCCTGGGATCGAGCCCCGCATCGGGCTCTCTGCTCAGCAGAGAGCCTGCTTCCTTCTCTCTCTCTGTCTGCCTCTCTGCCTACTTGTGATCTCTGTCTGTCAAATAAATAAATAAAAATCTTTAAAAAAAAAGATTTTTTTGTTTATTTTATTTAAAGTTTTATATATTTATTTGACAGAGAGAGAGATCACAAATAGGCAGAGCAGCTGCTCTACTCAAATTATATTTATATATTATAGATATATATAGAGATATATCTATATAGATCTCTATATATATCTATATATATCTCTATAATATATATATATATATCTATATATTATAGAGCTCAAGAGGCTCTATAATATGGGAGCCTAGGTCCCTGATAGTCCAGCCCAAATCTACCCAGTCAAATCATAATACCTGCCTGGTGCTTTTTCCATCTCTCCCCCTTTTTGTATGTTATTTTCTCTTATATCATCCCTTCTGGATATTAATCCCCATTTTACCTACACGGGAACTCTAAGTGGCTAGTTTTGTTAGAAGCATAGTCTGTGGCTAGAAGTTGTGCTCTTATCTTTTATATTCTATTAAAAATGTATCCATTAAAATTCAGAATTTAGAATCATTAATTACATGGTAAAGTGTCTATAATAAATGTTTTGAATTTTAAATATTTTATAAAACCGTGTATAGTATGATTATAATCTAATAAGAGTGATTTAATCTGTGAGGTGAGACTGGGGGTGATTTTTGTTTCCATGAGGTATTTTTCTGGATTTTCTAAACTTTTTCTTTTTCTTTTTTTTTTTTTTTTTGACAGAGAGATAGAGGGCAGATGTAGGCAGAGCAGCAGATAGAGGAAGAGGAAAAGGTAGATTCTCCACTGAGCAGGGCGCCCGACCCGGGGCTTAATCCCAGGACCCTGGGTTCATGACCTGAGCCAAAGACAGCCTCTTAACTGACTGAGCCACCGAGGCACCCCAAACTTTTTATAATTAATATGTATTACTTTTATAACAACAATCACCAAAAAGAATGGGGGGAAATATGTTATGTAGCCTTTAAGACTGTCTCAAACACTGGCATCACTGGCTTCTTCACTCCCTCATCACCATCACCATTTTCTACATTATCCTCTCTCCCCCCATCTTTTTGGAAAGTCAGGTGTGACTTAACACATTTTCCTGCCAAACTGGGAGGTCCTTGAGTAAAGACACTTGTCTTGTCTATTGTCACAACTCTCCATTCCTAGCCATTTTACAATTTATTGCTGAAGCCAGGAGTTTAGATTTTTTAAGGCTGAATAAAATGCCAGAAATATCAGGAAAGAAAGGCTATCAAGGTAAGAGCTATAATTTTGAGGAGTCCAGTAAACTAGTCCTTTAACTACTTAGAAGCATTTGTTAAACCTGTTAACCTTAAGCGGTGCCTGGGTGGTTCAGTGGATTGAGCATCAGACTCTTGATTTCTGCTCAGGTCCGATTTCAGGGTCATGGGATTGAGCTCCATGTTGGGGGTGTCATCCTGAGCATGGAGCCTGCTTGGAATTCTCTCTCTCCTTCTCCCTTTGCCCGTCCCCAGCTTACGTGCTCTCTTTGTCTCTCTACAACTGAAATAAAACAAAACAAAAACAAAAATCTGTTAATCTTAAAAATTAAACTGTCAGTTATCTTATTGGGAACAAAAGGTTTATTCTGAAATAGCAGAGAATTGCATTTCCAGACACACAGGCTAGGGCTTTGCAAGTCTAGAGAACATGGGAGAGGACTACTCTTTACAGAGGAATGGCTAAGTTGAGAGGCCTTTGTTACAAACAAAACACCTCTCAGAATAAACTGGGAGCTCTAAGTGTAGTTGCTTTTCATTGGCTCAGTTGTGACAGTCTCTCATTGGCTGGGCTGTTGCTGGATAAAGAAATTCTTTCCTCCTGCTACAGAGCTAAATACAGTCTTTTTCACATGGGGAATGCAATGGAGGGGTCTGCAATGGAGGAAGAGTGGTAGGGTATAAGAGCTTCTATTTCTGGTTCCTGACTCCAGTGTGTGTGTGCGTGTGTGTGTGCAATACACACACACATATATATATATAAATAATTTTAAGATTGATTAAAATTTATTTTTTAAAGATTTTTAAGATTAAGATTATTTTTTAAGATTTTATTAAGATTTATTTATTTAATATGTGTGTGTGTGTTTTAGGATTTATTTTTATTTTTTTAAAGAGATTTTATTCATTTATTTGACAGACAGAGATCACAAGTAGGCGGAGAATCAGGCAGAGAGAGAGGAGGAAGCAGGCTCCCTGCTGAGCAGAGAGCCTGATGTGGGGCTCAGTCCCAGGACCCTGGGATCATGACCTGAGCTGAAGGCAGAGGCTTTAATCCACTGAGCCACCCAGGCGCCCCGAGGATTTATTTATTTAAGTGATTTCTATACCCAACATTGGGCTCCAACTCATGATCTCAAGACAGAGGCCCATCTTCCACTGACTGAGCCAGCCAGGCACCCCTCCTGACTCCATTTTAAATGAGATTTCCTTTTATTAATTTTAAAGAAATCAAACAGGATTCAAGAGTAGGTAAGTGGAAAGGAGAGTAGAGGGGAACCCAGACTGGAAAAACAAGTTCCTCTAACTCAGATCAATGGACTTTAGGGAAATTCTTCAATCCCTTGAGGACAAAAATGTACCTAGGAGGGATGCCTGGGTGGCTCAGCCAGTTAAGCGACTGCCTTCTGCACAGGTCATGATCCCAGGGTCCTGGGATTGAGCCCTGCATTGGGACACCCTGTTTGTGTTCTCTTGCTCTCTGTCAAATAAATAAAATCTTTTTTTTAATTTTTTAAAAAGATTTTATTTATTTATTTGACAGAAAAAGAGAGATCACAAGTAGGCAGAGAGGGCGAAGCAGGCTCCCCGCTGAGCAGAGAGCCCGATGTGGGCCTCCATCCCAGGACCCTGAGATCATGACCGGAGCCCCAGGCAGAGGCTTAACCCAATGAGCCACCCAGGCACCCATAAAACCCTTTTTAAAAAGTACGTAGGAGTCCTTCATTTATGAATGGATCACTTGCTCATATGTATTGAGCACCTATTATATGCCAAGCACTGAAAACAGGTTCAAGAGAGGAAAAGGTAGATATGGTTCCTGACCTTAGGAAGCTTACTGAATGTCTATTGTGAGAGACTCTACACAATCACGTATTTACTTGGACAATTATAAGGTAACTTGAATGGTAATAGGCTAATTATACAGTTGCTGGGGAAACCAATTTTGGGAGGGAGTTTTGTTTTATTTTTTGTTTTGATTTTTAAGATTTTATTTGATTAGGAGCTCCTGGGTGGTTCAGTTGTTAACTGTCTGCCTTCCACTGGGGTCATGATCCTAGGGTCCTAGGATTGAGCCCCCCACATCATACTCCCTGCTCATGGGGAAAGTTGTTTTCCCTCTCCCACTCTCCCTGCTCATATTCCTGCTCTTGCGGTTTCTTTCTCTATCAAATACATAAATCACACCAAAAATTATTTATTTATTTATATATTTATTTGAGAGAGAGGGAGACCTGGGGGTGGGCAGGAGGAGTAGAGGGGTAAAGGGAGGGAGAGAATCTCAAGCAGACTCCCCAGTAAGCACGGAACCATATGTGGGGCTGGATCTCAAACCCTGAGATTATGACCTGAGCTGAAATCAAGGGTGAGAAGCTTAATCGAAAGAGCCACTCAAGCACCCCTGGGAGGGAGATTTTGATGAGAGGTCTCTGTGCTGAGACCTGAAGAGTATAGATGACATAGGGAGGTAGAGAGGAGAGGTTTAGAAAATTTGTTCTAGCAGAAGAAATGGCAAATGTGAAGGGAAGACACATGGGCTAAGGCATTTTCTGAGGCTGCAACAGAAAGGGAGAGATCCAGCAGAGGAAGTCATAGAATTTTCTTCTATTGAATAACCCATTCTTTAACCCCAAACAGCTCCTTCTTCTGTCCCTATGGCCTTGAAACCAGGCTTGCAAGCAATCTTGACAGCCTCACACTTCCATTCAAGGCACTCAAATATTCTTATTTAAACACATTTAAGGAAGATACCGTTAATCCACCAGTAAAGAACAGCAGAGTCAGGACAGTCTTGTTTAAAGTTCACAACCTGGCATCCAACACATTATCTGGCACATAATTACGTTTTGTAAAATTACTTGTGAATTCAAGATACGGTGTCCTTTAAAAAATGTATTTTTAAAAAATGTATTTTTAAAAACGGATGGAATGTATAATTTTCCCGAGCTACAGACTCGCGTTTGCTTCTCTGCCTAGGCCCTCGGACCTCTGAAGCCCTTTCTGACCCGCATGGGGAGGCGAGGTTGGCTCTAGCCCTCAGGCGCGCTCAGCCTAGGTGTTGGCGGCGGAACCGCAAGGAGACGGAACTTTGGGCTCGTGGAACGCTGGCCCTGCGGACCATCGGGAGGGAAGCACCCCCCCCCCCCCCCCCCCGCGCAACCCCGGCCCGGAAGGAGCTGACGGGAGCTGGGACCTCGGCAGCCATCGCGCTTTGCAGTTCGAACTAGAAGGTTGTGGGGCGCACTCCAGGTGGGGAATTGCGATCTCTCCATTCGCAGGTGAGTGGCGGTCTCTTCCCCCGGTAGAACCGGCAGGCGGCAGCTGTGGATCGCAGGGAAAGTGCACTTTTCGGGCCTGAGCCCACCGGGTCCCCCGGTTGTGGCCAAGAGAGAAAGGGGTCCCTGTTTTCCTCTCCGGAGTCAGGCAGCACTAAGGGGAACGGGTTCTTTTCCTGCTCTGCGGTGGTCGCTGTTAGAGTCCTCTGGATAGTGCACCTGCTGCTGTCAAACGGTGTCATTTGAGGAAAGAACGAGCTGACTGTAAGGCGCAGATAAACCCTTCCTTCCCCTCAGCCTCAGTTTCCTCACCTGATGAGGTGAAGGCGGCCGGGATCACTGACAGCTCCGGACCCTGTGACGCGGTGTTTTCAGTTCTCCCAGTTAGTGTGCTGGCAAAGTGAGCTTCTTTACTAGTAGAAGTTAACGTTTGGCCATAGCTCAAGTCCCAGGTGAGTGGGAGAAAAGATAAACTGGTTGGGGGAAAACTAATGATTTATAAATTGTTCCCAGATTTTTGAACAGCATAGAGATTTGTTTTGACAACAGCTGAAACTCTGACCTCACTGGCCCAAAAGCCAAACTCATTAGGTACTTAAGGTATTTGGTACACTTGGGCAAAACGAGGTGAGGGAATCCTTTTAACTTGAAAAATTAAAAGTAGTATTATTTGCATATTTATCTGTCAAGCTCAGTATTACCACGGGTCTTACTCTGAAGAATATCCTAGGTTCAGTGTTAAAATACCAGTTTAGAGGATGAAAGAAGGGGCGACTGGGTGGTTCATTCCGTTAAGCGTCTGCTCCTGATCTCAAGGTCCTGGGATCAAGTAGGGCGTGGGCTCCTTGCTCAGCGGGGAGTCTGCTTCTCCCTCCGCTTCTCCCCCTGGCTTGGGCGCACCCTCTCTCTTTCTACCTCAATAAAATAAAATCTTTAAAAAAAAAAAGTATGAAAGAAAAGGAAACATTTATTGTCTCCTATGTGTGAGGTGCTAGCCATTCACACAATTCATTAAGGACGGTAATGATATCATCTCCATTTTACAGATGAGGAATAAGGGAAAATTAATAATTTGTCAATAATTGTGGTGCTGACATAGTAAAGCAATGTATATCTAATACTTTTTTTTTAAGATTTTATTTATATATTTGACAGACAGAGATCACAAGTAGGCAGAGAGGCAGGCAGAGAGAGAGGAGGAAGCAGGCTCCCTGCTGAGCAGAGAGCGCGACGTGGGGCTCGATCTCAGGACCCTAAGATCATAACCCGAGCCGAAGGCAGAGGCTTTAACCCACTGAGCCACCCAGGCGCCCCTCTAATACTGTTTTGAGGATTTACATTCATTACCAAGATATTTGGAACTTAACCAATCTTATAGTTCAGTGGCATTTTCTTTTTTTTCTTTCCTTTTTTCTTTTTCTTTTTCTTTTTTTTAAATTTATTTGACACACAGAGATCACAAGTAGGCAGAGAGGCAGGCAGAGAGAGAGAGAGAGAGAGAGGGAAGTAGGCTCCCTGCTAAGCAGAGAACCTAATTCGGGGCTCGATCCCAGGACCCTGAGATCATGACCTGAGCCGAAGGCAGAGGCTTAACCCACTGAGCCAGCCAGGCGCCCCAGAAAAGGAATGTTTTGACTTTATTTTAGAAATGTTAGAGAAGCATTGTTAATAATTACAAAGATAAGCAGTTGAAAAAAGTACATTTTAACCACCCTTTCCTTGCACTTCCAGCAGGAACTGAGACAAAAGATTAGGCTGTCAGGAATGAAAATCACTGGCACACTGAAGTTTATAAGTCAGAATTCTATAGTAATGATGATTTCTCCACCCTCTTTGAGTGTACTTGGCTGATACTCATTTAAATGATTTCTCTGCAAAACATTACTAAGCTAAAACCTTTAAAATTACATGTTTGAAATATTTCTTTTGTAAGTGATAAACCACTGAATTCTCCAGAAATCAATATGCACTGCATGTTACTCACTAGAATTTAAATAAAAATTTGAGGAAAAAGAAAAAGAAAATTTTCTTTTTTATAGCTTTTGAACAATTTCAATTAAGCGTATTTTAAGGGGGCGCCTGGCTGGCTCAGTCGGTGGGGCATGCTACTCTTGATCTTGGGGTCATGAGTTCAAGCCCCATGTTGGGCCTGGAGGTTTTTTGTTGTTGTTGTTGTTTTAAAGATTTTATTTATTTATTTGACAGACAGAGATCTCAAGTAGGCAGAGAGGCAGGCGGAGAGAGAGAGGAGGAAGCAGGCTCCTTGCTGAGGAGAGAGCCCGACGCGGGGCTCGATCCCAGGACCCTGGGATCATGACCTGAGCTGAAGGCAGAGGCCTTAATCCACTGAGCCACCCAGGTGCCCCTGAAGGCAGAGGCTTTAACCCACTGAGCCACCCAGGCGCCCTTGGCCTAGAGGTTTTTAAAAAAAGTATTTTAAGGTTTGAATTTGTCACTGCTTATATTGATTTTCATTTTCTTAATTCAGTATAGGCAAGTGCAGTACTCAAGATTCACAACTTTTCATAACAAAGCATTTTTCCCCCTTCTCTCACTCTTAAAAAAAATCCTATTTATATTTGTCACAGATTTAACCTTCCAGTTGAGTGTCACTTTTCCCCAAAGGAGACTTAAGTTTGTATTTTTTGTTGATTACATGAATGCAAAGGTCTAATTCCATTACTATGATTGCTATGCATTCAGTCATAAAATGTTTTCCTGAGTTTTGTATTTGCATCACTGTTTCAAAACTTTAAAGGCTATAGAAAGAAAAATCTTAAGAATTTTAGGGGAGAATATTTATAAGGGCAGCACTGTCTCGAAACATTTAACATTATTACTTTTCATCCTTGGTAATGCACAGGGCCTTACTGAAATTCTATAAAACATGGTCAAGCAGAGTTTGGACTCATATTTCTAGTCCTATTTGAATTTGAAAGAGAAGTGTGCATAATTTCTGAATTAGCTTACAGGTAGTTTACTGATCTTATGGAATTTATGCACATTTTCATCATAAACCCGATGAAGTTGGATAGAAAATTATGATTAATCTTTTCTAGTAAATATCTTCACCTAGAGTTGAAGGAAATTACTCTAGTACCTTCTCTGGTGACTGTGACAATGTTGTTAATATTTAAAGTTAAGTTATTCATGAAAAGTATCATTAAAAACTTCTTCAGGGGCGCCTGGGTGGCTCAGTGGGTTAAAGCCTCTGCCTTCTGCTCGGGTCATGATCCCAGGGTCCTGGGATCGAGCCCCACATCGGGCTCTCTGCTCAGCGGGGAGCCTGCTTCCCTTCCTCTCTCTGCCTGCCTCTCTGCCTGCCTGTGATCTCTGTCTGTCAAATAAATAAATAAAATCTTAAAAAAAAAAAAAAAACTTCTTCATATCGGGGCACCTGGGGGGCTCAGTCGGGTAAACATCTGACTCTTGATTTCTGCTCAGGTGATGATCTCAGGGTTGTGAGAGGGAGCCCTGAGTCAGGCTTAGCTCTGGGCATGGAGCCTGCTTAAGATTCTACCCCCCCTTCCTCCTCCCACCTTTTTTCTCTCTAAAAAATTTTTTTCATTTTAAAATACTGAAGTTTTTCCATATTCTTGTTAATGTTGAAGTTAACTTGAAAATTGGCATTTAGAGTTTATGCTTTTGAGGAGGCACCTGGTTCAGTTTATAGAGTGTACAACTTTTTATCTTAGGGTTATGAGTTCACACTCCATGCTGGGTGTAGAGATTACTTAAAAAAAATCGTTAAAAAATTTGTTTTGAATTTTAGTTGATTTAGTCAGAATGAGTTAATGCCACTTTACATTGTGTAGTATTCATAATGTTTTTCAGGTACATTATCATAATTAATTATTCTTAAAACTCTGTGAGGCAGATAATATTCCTATTATAGGTAAGAAAAAACTGGAGCTCAGAAAGATTGCCTTTCCCAGAAAAAAATAATAGTATTTCAAAAGATGCATATTAAATCCAGATTTTTAAAATTCTAGGATAGGAACTCACTTGCACCATAGCTTTACCATCCTTTGCTTCCCAAAATTAATAATGTATTGTTTCTGTAATGTTACTCTGGTGTTATATTTGCCTTTTTAGATCATTGGCGCTTTTATTTTTATTTCTGTTTTTTAAAATTATTTTTATTGACATATAATGTATTATTTGCCCTGGGGTACAGGTCTGTGAATCATCAGTCTTACACATTTCACAGAACTCACCATAGCACATACCCCCCCAGTGTCCATAACCCAGCCACCCTATCCCTTCCCCCTACTCCCCCAGCAACCCTCAGTCTTTATTTTTTAATAATAGCTTTATTGATAGTTCACATACCATAAAATTTATCCTCTTAAAGTATACAATTAAAAAAAAAAGTATGCAATTCAGTGTTTTTAGTATATTCACAGTGTTATGCAACCATCACCACTATCTATTCCAGAACATTTTCATCACCCAAAAAGAAATCCACTACCTATTAGCAGTCACTCCCTGTTTCCCCTTACCTCCCTTGTCTGACAACCACTAACTTAGTCTGAGAACTTACATGTTCAGGACATTTCATGTAAGTGGAATCATTCATTTAAGTTTAATGGGAGAAGGCTTTAAGCAATTATTTGTAATTTGAGAGCTTCTGCTCGATTCTACTCTTAAGTGCTGATTTTCGTGTTACTGGAGTAGATCACTTTTCTAATCTGTATAGGCACTTTCCTGTTTGTTGTTCATGCAATAAATAAATCTGCTGACGTGTATATGTTTCCTTATTCTTGACCTTTGCTCTTCACATATCTGATAGTGTATTCATGGTGTTGTGTAACCTCTTCTCAGGGCTCAGGTATCTGTGGCTAAGTAACTTTATTCTTAGTTGGGCATTTTTATTTCTACTTTGAAATGACTAATGCTTGCTACCTTGTTTTAAGGTCCTTAGAAACCACAACTTTATAGAAATATTAGTATCTCATTATCTTCTAAAGCAGAGTTTCTCCATATGTGTTAATAAATTATGT